GATGAGGGCATATCAACACCTTTGCTTTCCAGGGAAGAGGGGTGGTGAGGAGATGGGGCTTACCACTTCATTCTGATGGAGGAAAAAAGGTGGCTGGGTACACAACTCCTTTGGGCTATAGGCATTTCCGATTTTACAGCATTCATCCATTTGGCCTCAAGGCACTTTACAAAAATAAGCTGAAGGTGCTGCCCCCCTTGCTCAGAGTGGTCCAGCACACCCCACCCTGCCCCAGCGGCTCCCCTTCCCTCTCGCTCACTCCCCTGGAGCCACCCTGGCCTCCCGGCCTGTCCTCAAACCTGCCAGACACACTCTCGGCTCCAGGCCTGTGCACTTGCCACTGGCTCTGTCTGGAATGCTCTTCCCCCAAATATCTTCCTGGTCACTCCCTCACCTCCTTCTGGTCTTTACGCAAATATCACCTTCTCAGTGTGGCCTTCTCTAAGCAACTGACCTAACCGTAGAGCTCCCATCCCTGTACGGTCTGCATCCACCTTCCTGACTTAAGTTTCCCCCATAGCATTTAACCTCACTTGACATTCTATCTCCTGTATTACCTTCCTTATTGCCTGTCTCCTTCCAGTACAATGTAAGCTTCCCCTGAGGGTAAGGGTTCAGTCTGCTTTGCTCACTGCTGTGTTCTCAGTGCCTGGCACAACATCTGGCACAGAGTGGACACTCAGTGAGTGGCTTTTGCTGTGATTTGCTTTGCTAACCTCCAGTCCCTGGCGCCTCGGCCCTTCTATGTAGATGGGTGAGCAGAGCCACAGGAAAGGTAAAAGAATGGAGGAGAGAGGTGAAGAGAGGAGAGGAATATTAGCAAGTATGGAGAGATGGTAAGGAGCAAAGTGAAGGTCACGAGATTTCTGATTAAGGAACAGAAGGCCTGTAGAAGGGCACATGCCGAGGAGGAGGAACCACACGGCAGAGAGGGAGACTCTCCAGAAGACTCCCCATGAGAAGTCACCTGAACGGGCAGTCGATGCTCAGGCAGTAGACATGGGGCTTGGCTGCAGCCTTGTCTCTTGCTATAGAGCCATCCTCTGTAGGCCAAGGAGCTGTGGACAGCAGGCCTGGAGACAGGAGCAAGAAACCAGGAAGGGAAAGGAGGGAGAGAAGGCGGGATGGGGCCAAGTAAAAGACCACACGGATGATCCCGGGGAGTCTGGGTGGCAGACGGCTGGGCAATGGAAGAAAGCAAAGGTGAGAGGCCAAGGGAAGTTCAGTAGGACAGAAAAGGGAGCAGACTGGAAGGGCAGCAGAGAGAAGGTGGCCTTGGAGGAAGGGCAGAGGTGGGAGCAGGCCTGAGGACACTGCTATTACATATTACATAGGACCAGACACAACTCACAGGCCCTGTAGACGGAGGCGGCACTGTTGTTCCTACCACCTGCCATGGAATTCCGTGTCTCTTTCTTTTTTTTTTTTAAAGATTTATTTATTCATTTGAGAGAGCGAGAATGAGAGAGAGTACATGAGAGGGGGGAGGGTCAAAGGGAGAAGCAGGCTCCCCGCCGAGCAGGGAGCCCGATGCGGGACTCGATCCTAGGACCCTGGGATCATGACCTGAGCCGAAGGCAGACGCTTAACGACTGAGCCACCCAGGCGCCAGGAGTTTGCATTTTAACTGGCAGTGATGGAGAACTCTTAAAGAAGTCCGAGCAAGGTGGTAATAAGTTACAAGTATTGTCCGGGGACAGCTGAGCTGCGGCCTGGGGCGGGGGGGGGGGCCTCAGGAGTGGGAACAGGTGTACGAGGCGTGTTAACAAGCCGATCACCCAGAGCAAAGGGGCGCAAGGGGGCTGCGTGCACCGTTGGTGCTGCCCTCAGGAAGCGTCCCTGCGGGCAGGCGGTGTCACTGTCTTGGGCACGAGTGAGGGTGGGGGTGGAGGAATCATCAAGAGAAAGAGACTTCTATCCTTTGGAGGGACGAAAGGGCCATTCTCCAAGCTTTGGAGGGTTTGAGGTAACTGAAGCTGACAGGTCCACAGACAACGATTTCACCTTTCCACCACTCTTCAAATCCAAACTTGTGAAATCCTCAAACACCTTGCACCAAGAGGAGTCTGCCATTCAGTCTCCCTTGTCACGGCCGGGGCTTGAAGCTGCAGGACGAGCCTGCCAGGACCCAGGTGCCGCTCCGCTCCACTGGTCTCCTAGCAAGTGACGGGGCGGGGACGGGCGGAGGGGCATTCTAGCTGCACAGCTTCCCCCCCCCGGCTCTGACCTCACGCTTCAGTGCTCCTCGATGGCATGCAGCCCGCAGCTTCCAGCGAAGCAAAGCAGAATGGGGGATGGCAGCCAAGCCATCCCTCCAGGCTCCATCCCATCAACTTCTCTGGGCCGACCATAATCAAAACCTCTTGAAGCTAACGAAAGTGAATTTAAACTGGCCTCCAAAGAATAGCAGGTTATGTCCCCCAGCTGACTAAACAGGGCTTCCTCTTCAAGGCAGCTTGATCTGCAACACTAGTTAATACCTAATTCCAAGGGGAAAGTACGTGCCTTGACGACAGCAAGGCAGCTACGACCCCACAAAGTTATCCTTTCAGAACCTGCCCCTCTTACCGACAAGTACTCTGTGATCAGTACCCTTTCTGGGGGCTATGTTTGACGAAGCAGGTGTAAGGACTTTTCTGTCCTGCAGTTATAATGGTGAGATTTCAACTCCAGGCTCTCTCTCTCCCTCCTTGGATGGAAGAATCGTTTTCATTTCAAATTAAGGGGCCTCTGCTCTGCTGGCGGCCGAGCAGTCAGCCCCTGCGAAGGGGCCAGGTTCTTTTATGCTGGCTGGAAGGTCAGGATTAGAAGGGCACACCAGAACGATAACCGAATATCAACCCAGACCTGGAGATGCTTTTCTTGGAATCCTGAACAGCAAAAGCTCTTCCCGGCCATTTTTCCTTTTTCTCCCTCTCCTAGGTGAATGCAGAAAAAAAATCCAGAAGGCGATTTTCAACCATAATCTCCTTCTTGTTGGGATATTGTGCAGCTACTAAGAATTACGCTCATGAAGAGAATGTAGGAATATGCCAAAATGCTTCCGATGCAAGGCTAA